TGTTTGTTGTTGGGATGTGTAATGAATTACCACTTCGTGTCACAATGGCATTCACATCCTTCAAATTCTCTTGCGCCATGTGTTGACCATGGGGTGCAGACTGAGCTTGAGAAGGGATCTTACCTCACTCATTCACACTCAAGAAGCTCATCAATTTGGATATTTGGCTCTTTATCTCTTTATTTTTTTCAACAACCTGCATAATCAAAGATTCAAACTTTTAGTTAGTCTTACCCTGTGTCTCAATAAAAGCATGCACAATGTCTTCTAAAAGACTCTTAGAAGATGAAGGTGCATGATAGGGTGCAGGATATGATCTAGGGGGTTGTACAAGTGACTAATTTTCAAAATTCTAACTAAAATTGGAGTGATTGTACCACCCCAGATTATAGGTATCAGAGTAAGGTATAAAAAGCTTCTTGTACATACCTAAGGCATTACATTATTCCTCACACATCCCTCTCATCTCAGCAATTGTGGGACATTCTTGGGCGAGGTGATCTACCCCGCTACGCACAAAACATGATCCAAAAAACTCTGCATGATTCCACCACCATTTGGGTTTCCTGTAGGTTGTGACTTATTTGTACTTTTAGTAGCACTAGGTCCAAGTGTGAGCTTTTTCAGCAAGCTCATGGAGATATTCTATTGTCTCATCAGGATCATTTTGTAAGAACTTACCATTACACATCATCTCTACAAATTGGCGCTCTAAAGGTGTAAGTCCCTCATAAAGATAGCTCATTAAGCGCCAATTCTCATACCAATGGTGAGAACACACACTCAACAACTCCTTAAATCTCTTTTAAGACTGATACAAAGTCTCACTGTCCTTTTGTGCAAAAGTTGAGAGTTGCCTTTTTAAAACGTTGGTCTTATGTTAGGAAATATATTTATTAAAGAAGACCTGAGTCATCTCACTCCATGACCTCAATAGATCATGGTCTCAGCGAGTATAGCCAACTTTTAGCTCTATCTTTTAAAGAGAAAGGAAGAACTTAAGTCTTATAACATCATCAAGTGCAATTTGATTATGAAAAGTCGCAACTACTTCCTCAAACTCCCTAATGTGCACATCTGAGTTTTCATTTTTCAAGCCATGAAAATTAGGGAGTAACTATATCATCCCTGTTTTAAAATTCAATTGGCGAGTATTAACTGGAAACATGATGCATGATGGTGTGGCGGTGCATGTAGGGTGAAGGTAATCATGAAGAGTTTTAATGAGTTGATCTTCGTGTTCACCCATTTCTTTGGGACTCGATGGATTGTCAAATAAATGATTTAAAAATTTTGATTCTAACTCTATCACAGGCCTACGAGCAAATCTCCCCAAGGTGTCTCTATATTTGTGCATGCAAGGCAACGGAATACTAAAAGAATAAAGATACTATAAAAAGAAAGAAGAAAAATAATAATAATAATAACAACAATGCAGCAAACTAAAAGAAGGAACGAAATTACCGCCTTTGCAAACTGTTGAAGATACAAACTATTTAGCAATTCTTCTACTGTCTCCCCAGCAACGAAGCCAAAATTTAATTACGCCCAGAGAATAACGTGGTAATTATAGCACAACTTTAGACTGTCAATTCCATAGAGAGACAAACTAAAAATAAAAGAAACAAAGGAACTAAAGAAAAATATTAAATAATTACTAGAGAAGAAAGATTAATTTTAAATGTAACTTAAAGTGAAGCAAAATGACTAACATAAAAAATATTCAAATTTGACAAACAGTAAAATATCGGGAATTTTTTGTACAAATCTGGTATTTTAATTATTCTTAATTCATTGAACAACTCAATTTCCAAAATTTTCAATCGGAAGGTATAAATTTATAAACTAAGATTAAATCAAACGTAACCCTTTGAAAAATCATTCATCACTTTTAAAATATGTAAATTATTATCATTATTAAAAAAATTCAACGACGACAATATATTCAAGAAGTGATATTGCAGAAAATAATTAAATCAATATTGATAAATAATTGATCCAAACATAATTAAAAAGTTAATCTATTCAATAGAAAAAGGCTGACTAAATCTATAAATAGAATAAATTATATGACTATTCGGAGAAGAAAACATTAACAATGAATTGAGAATGATAAAACAAAAGAATTTTAGTAATTAAAAATTAAATGTGTAAATTAAAAATAAATAAAATACTATCTATTATACAAGTTCATCATTCGTCCTACATGAGAATTTAGTTACCATAAAAATAATTGACAACAAGAATCTCCCGAAAAAATAGAGCAAAATGATGGCTTAGGAATTTTTCTGCTTCCTTGAACTGTGTCCGCCTCACGCCAGAAACAGCCGCCCCCTCAATGTTCATCCCACCTCCCATAAAAAAAAGAAGTTAAAAGTCAATCCCCCTAAAAAACCCTTTTCCTCCCCCTCTTTATTCCAACCTTTTTATTTCAACTCCTAAAACCCAAATCCACATGCATGTTGAAAAGGACAAATCCCAAATCTGCTGAGTGTTGGGTCCACTACGACAGTTGCATCAATTTCAACTTTTTTACTCCATCGGTTGCGATCAACATAAAAACAAATATAAAAATCGAATAATAAAGTCTCAAAAATATTAAATGAAAAGTTCAATTTTAAATTATCTCTCACCAATTAATAATGCAATATTTAAGATTTAAAATATTATAAAATCATGCTCAAATATATCTTAGTGTGAATAAATATTAAATTAAATAATATAAATAATATTTAATTATTTCTATTCATATTTTAACATTTTAATCCAATAATAGAGTATTTAAAATACACTTTCGTGGCACTCATCAGGTAGCTTGCAAGACCTACCGAGGGATAAAAATGAAAGGGCTCTGGAAGTGTTAATTGACTCAAGCCTATCGAGTTATAATATGCCGAAATTCTCTTGCTTGTAATTGGTTGAACTTGAACTCCAGGCAAACTTGATTTCTAAGCTTAAATTCTTATTCAAGCTTGACTCTATTTAAGCTTACAGTCATTCGAGTTTGAAGTTTTTTTTTTTTGAACGATAAATTGAAGTCGACATAGACATCTAAACAAAAAATTTAAGAGCTTAGAAGTTAATAATCAATCATAAAATGATCACTTTGTCAACAACATTTATTCTAAATCTATAAAGTAAAACCATAAAATTAAACTCTAGAAACTAAGGGGGTGCTTGGTTTGAATTTTGAAAACAAGTTTTTGATCTCAAAATCTCAAAAACTTTGAAAACCCATCTGGTTAGCATTTTTGATTTCAAATTTTTGGGGAAAAAAAATGAGATTTGGAACAAAAAAAAAAAAGAAAAAGAAAACAATGCAGTGTTATTTTTTAAGTTTTTTCCTGAAAATTGTGAAAACACAGAGGTTCACCTATCTTTAGTGAGGTCCACCCATCAAACTTTCTTAGTAGCAAATTGCATTTTTCTCCATCTCCTTGTGTTTTCTCCGTCTCCTCTCTCTCTCTCTCTCTCTCTCTCCAATAACATTGTGCAACGAAGATCGTTGCTCTGTCGCCAAAGTTTCTCTTCTCTGTTCTCTGTCTATGTGCTCAGATCTCTGTTCTCTGTCTGTGTTCTCTTCTCTGTTCTCTGTCTATGTCGTCGAAGTCTTTCTCTCTCTCTCGCGCAACAATTAAAGTTCTATGTATATACACAAAATATGTGCTTAGATATGTGTATGTACAGATCTGTGTGTATGGGTCTATGTGTGTGTGTGTGCGTGTGTGTCTGTGTGTTTGTGTGTGCGTGTGTGTGTGGGTTTTGTGAAGACAGAGAGAGGGGAAAGAAAAATAAATATGGAAATTGTGGGTTTTGTAGATTATTGTCCAAACAGATTTTACAATTTTTTATTCTTTAAAATTATTTTCAAAAATATATAACCAAACAAGTTTTGTAATCTAAAATTTTCAAAAATATTTTATTAAAATTACTTTTAAAAACTATTTTCAGATACTGTTTTTTGNTTCAAACAGATTTTATAATTTTTTATTCTTTAAAATTATTTTCAAAAATATATAACCAAACAAGTTTTGTAATCTAAAATTTTCAAAAATATTTTATTAAAATTACTTTTAAAAACTATTTTCAGATACTGTTTTTTGAGATGCAAACCAAACAAGCCTTAAAACTTTCCAAAAATCTATTTGAGAAGAGTAGAAAGAAGTATCTATAATCTTGAACTATTTTAAAATAAGTTTAAGATTATTCAACTTTTGTGTAAGATTTTTTTTAGTAAAATACTTAGAATCATTTGTGTGCGGAACCACATTCAAGTTGAGCCAACCCAAAATAAGTTGAGTCACACGTTATTTGGATTCAATTTATTTACAAAATAAACACGAAAAATCAAATCAAATTCAATTAATTTAACAGTTTGAATAAACTACACAAACCCAAGCTATTTTTTTTTTGGATCAGAACCCAAGCTACTTGAATCGGAAAACTCATTGCAAGAAGTGTTCAATATCATTAACATGGTATGTATTAGGGATAGGGCTGCAACTTGGGTTGGACAACTTGATTTTAACCAGAGCCCAACCCGAAAAAATTAGGACTTGAGAAAGAGTTTTTAATACGTGAGTTAGACTTGAGGTCAAAAAACTTCAATCCGAATTCAATTTGGGTTAGACTTAGGTTAAAGTCTCGGGTTCACGGTTCAACCCGAACCCAACAAATTAAAAAAAAATTATATATATATAAAGCATTAACATTGATTTTTTATTTTTGGTGTGAAAGCATAGGATCAATAATAGTGCACTATTATGAATGAAATATATGAATTATGTTTTATGAATATGTAATTATGTTAAAAACTTGGTTGAAGTTATTGGTTGTTAATTTATGTGAATATTATGTAATAATATTCACATAAATTAGGGGGGGAAGTAGTTCAACAAGTCCTAGAAGTAATGGTATGACATTCAACCTTCAACTCCTTGAATCGGAAAACTCATTGCAAGAAGTGTTCAATATCATTAACATGGTATGTATTAGGTAGGGAAGTAGTTGAACAAGTACTAGAAGTAATGGTATGACATTCAACTTTCAACTCAACATCATACTGGGCATATGCATGATGGTACAAATATGGATTTAGGTATAACAAATTATTTAATTAAAAGGGTAAAATGTACATACAACACATTAAATCAATGAAAGTCTCGGATGAAAGAAAATCTATGGAATCATCGGCATAAGATGTGAGTTTGTCAGAGGTAAGCATGAGATTGTCCATCATGAATGAAGAAAGTGTAACAACTAGGTCACAATCGACAATCATTTTCTGGCTTCAGCAAAAACTCAACAGCCTCAAATCCCCATGCGAAAGGAGAAGAAGGTGGAGAGTCCCAGTTTATAGGAGAAGACTGTCGGGTTGAAGACTTCAACCAGTCAGAGAATTCGGTCATGGGCAACTCTACTGGTTCTGGGTAGCAGAGGGGGCTATCAGGATTAGCCTGGTGCAAAGAAAAATAAGCATAAAAAATACAATCTTTGATAACAAACAAATGTTCATGTAAATTTCATCATTGTACCTACATTATATGACTGTAAATGGAAAAATAACTGAAACCATATATGAACTAGAATAGATATCCTGTACTTACTGAATAACATTTAACTACATTTTTTTCCGTGTCAAAATTCTCTTACTGTAGAAAGAAAAATACAAACCTTCACTGAATTAGAATCCGCAAATTCAACAGAAGACATGGAATCTGCAAAATAAAAGTAATCTCTGAAACTTTGAACTTGTATATGCAAATATATACAGCTTTAGCAACAAACTTACAGTGGAAAATCAAGCGTGAAGAGCATTTGAAAATGATTTCTTTCTTGGAGGGCAGGTGTACTAGTAATTTTGAAAAACTTTGAAGCACTTTCTGGTAAAAGTTCAAACCTTCTAAGAGCACATTTGAAATATTAAATTCTCATTCACTCTTCTATATTCTAGTTTAGGCTTCAATCCCTACATGCACTATTTGAAATAGCTGCATGTTTCTAGGTTGACAGGTGTCAACATTGGTTATTCAGTTGTTTTTTATTTGAACGTGACCATACCACACGATTCTTTTATATCTTGAGAGAACCGAAGGTGGCCAACCAGGCTAGAATAAAAATATAATCCCCAAAAGGTATATATGCAATTCACCAAATAGAAGATGGGAGTGAAACACCCAAAAAAAATTAACCAATGTGTGCCAATGGCTCTTTCCAATATCTTGATGCAATCAAAGAAGTAAATTAAAAAATTCATGAGTAATTTTCACAAGAAATGAAATTTGATCTCTACCTTCTGTTGAATCGAAGCGTTTTACACTAAAAGCTATAGTTGTTAATGAAGGCACAACTTCTTCCTTTTAACTAGATTAGCAGTCTCCATGGGTCGGGATGGTTAAACCCTTACCCCGAATCTCGGGAGAACTTGTTGCACCTTCATCCAAGTCAACAACTTTCTCCCCAACAACTACCTTGTGACTCAAACCTATGACTTGGCTCTAATACCAATTGTTGGATCAAAGCGCTTACCATTGCACCAAAAACTATAATTGTTAGTGAATGCGCAACTTCTTTCTTTTAACAAGCTCAGCAGACCTCATGAGTGAGGTTGGTTAAACCATTCCATTGAGTCTCGGGGAGACATGTTGAATCTCACACAGGCCAACACCTAGCTTGTGTGGCATACTAACCATGTCTTAGACAAAAAACCCTAAACTAAACATAACTTATAAAATTGATGCGCAGCATGAATAGATTACCATGCCCAGGAAGAACTGTGTCAAAGAAACGAGGTTTCATTGCTGCTTCCTTTACTTCAATGCATTTCGTGTGATCATGCAAAAACTTTTCGTCTGCAATATTAAACTCCTCTTTCAGTAAATTTTTTTTTCTTGTTGATGCTTCATGAAGAACGGATGACTTGTTTGTAATATCATTGAGAGCTTTACGGCCTCCAAGCCCTTCTCCACCTTTCTTCGCAGCTGGTTTAGAATTCTTTGTTACTCCATCAAGCACAGCCTCTACAGGGGAAAATTAACTCAAATTAATAGGAAAAATACCATGAGACTGTATAGTTGGCAAAAGATTCTGAGAGCCCTCTTAAATTGCTCCAAATGCTGGAGGTTGAATGTCTAGAACATTTTAAGAGGTGCCATGTCCAATCCATTTGTGCATGAATCCATGAAGGGAGCTCTCAGAATCTTTCCTTAGCTCTATGTCAGCTTATCACTGTCCTCTCATATCATATGACTGCTCAATTTACTTCCAAATAGAATATCATATAGCATACAATGGAAAGATGTAATTAAGTGAAGAAAAAAATGGAAAGATGGAATCATACTTTTGTGAGGGATGCCCAAATTTTCATCCCGAATGATCAGTGGCCTCTTAGTGACATGGCTTGTCATGTTTCTGTATCAATTGACTGATAGTCTTAAACAATGAGCCCTGCAGCAGAAATACATGGAGGATTTACACAACATTTGCAAATGATAGAAAATATAAAGAAATGGGGTAAAAAAATGGATGTCTCAGAAGGCCAGAACTTTGGAAGAAAAAGTTTTGTAGGCAATCCTTTTGATCCAACTTCACCTTGAAATAATTGTAAATGCAGGAGTTATAAAGTAAAGCCATGTACTTATATCTTCACAATGCCTATTTAGAGTACAAAAAAGATGGATACAGCTCATTAGATGTCCTTTGATAAGTAAAAGAACCCCTTGAGTGGAAAAGACCATCAGACGAAATATAAAGGAAGAAAATAAGGGTTTACAAACAAGAAAGACCACCAAAGGAAACTGCAGATATGCCATGGACATTCCATACCTTTGGCCTTCTAATATAAATATCCATTTTCTTTTCTTAAGTTTAGGTAAACCAAACTAAATACTTTATTTGTCTAGCCAATTTTGTTATTTGCTGCTTTTCAGTAAAAGGAGCTTGACCTTGAGAACTAGAATTCTCTTTCAAATGATTACAGACTGATCCTTCATCAAATGAAACATGTATAGTGGGTAAGGAGTCTGTACGGGTAAGTGAAACTAGAGCTAGAAACAAGCCTGAGGTCCATGCTCAATGTACTCAGAGATAAAAGCCCAAGCAGGAAGAGTGAAAGTTCCTAATATTTGCTCCAAAAGATTTCCTAAACTGATAAAAATCTACATTTTCATGGTATGTCACCCATCCATCAAACGGGACCCCGGGCTAGACTCCACCAAGGCCTCAAGTTGCATTTTCGAAGGAAGATTTCAAAACTCAATCCCACACTTACCCCAAATGGGAGGCAGGTTGAGCAACCTAGCAAAGGGCCAGTGGCTGATAAAATCCAAACAAAAGTAGAAGAATTTAAACATGCAACTGAGGAAAATTTGGAATGTTGAATCTCGTGGACAAAAATGGCAGCCATACGACAATAAGTGCAGTGATTGAGCACATTTCACATATTGAATCAAAAGCGTTCAAAAATCATTGACTCGGTATGATATCATATAACTGAAGATAAGGAGAGAAATTTTCCAAAAATAATGCACACTCCTGAAACAATGATTCGTATCAAACACAAAACAAGGCATCAAATGATTTCTTCCTACTCTATATAACACTAAGATTTGAGAGCAATTGATCCCAAGAGAGAGTGCATGTTTAGGAAGCCAAAACCTAAAAGTAGATGAATCATCAAATTTATAAACTCGAAATTGACGTTTAGTCAAGCTCTTTTAGTCAGAAATATAGTCCCAAAATTGTGTCAAAGGAACTTTTTTCCTTCTTAGTTTTCTCTCTAGGCTCCATTTGTTTGATCAAAATTAATCCATAACTATCCCAATAAAAGAATTAATAAATTAATATGACCATTTTGAATTTTCTGACAGAGTTTTAGTGAGGACCTATTATTCCAACCATTAATTATATGATGGTCACCTCCCTAGGCTAGCCTCTTACTCCACTCCTAAAGGACAACAAAAATTCAATAATTACTAAACGAGCATCCAAGACAATACTACAGCACTAACCACACAGCCAAACTTTAGGCATTTGAATATTCAAATATCAATAGAATATTGATATTCACTCCACAGTGAAAATTAGTCAACAGACTACCATAATTTTTTGTACTACCATAGAATTGGGGTATATAACATACACACCCCTCCCTCCCACAGGGAAGTACGAGAGTTACAACTTACAAGAACTAGGCCAAATAAAAAATGGTGCTTATAAACAAACACTTGCTTTCGCTGTAAATGACAAAGAGACAGGTAATCATCTTATGTTCTTCTCACCACAAGATGAGACATGAGAATAAGGGTTTCAGTGAGAAGAATCTGTAAAAAATGCCATATGGAGGAAAACTAACAAATCCAAGCTCTTCAGGTGAAAACTCACTTTAAATATTAGTTCACTAGCCATTACAGATAATCCTAAAGAAAATGTACCAAAAAAGATAAATGCACAAGTCATATTAAACACCAAAAATGGAAAGTAACTACCATATAGCATCCAAGTTGTCCAGGTCAAACTTTATATAAAGAACATATACAATGAAACTAAGAAGATGAGGATCCAAATTGAGGTTCTTCTATGTCAGATGTGGGCCAATGGCTTTGAAAAGAATAGAAAAACGTTAACCCATCTTCTTCCATTATCACAAGAGTGCTAGAAGGGATTGACTGGGTACGCAATATAGACACAATCTATGATATTATATGCCAAAAGCAGCTACTCTCAGATTCTAAACTACAATCTTGCCACCCGAATACATTTCACGAATGCACTAGGCAATGAACCACACATGCAAATCCTCATTAGGTAATTCATTCCTTAGGGCACACACAAAATCTAATACATAATCAAAGACTAAAAGTCTATAAGTGTGAAAAAGTTCCAATTTCCAAATCTGGACAGTGTTTAAGGTCATAAGTTCTTTGGGGTTCTTAGTGAATGAATCTGTGATACAGAGTAAAAGATGAAGAAGATAGGAGGGAGAGAGAGAGAAGATGGAGATCGAATCTCTGTTTTCTATTATTCAACTCAACTGTTAAACATGCATTACACTTGTATTTATACATAATCAGTAATGTATTGCTAAATAAACAATGAGAGAATTGTTACAACTAATTGACAGCCAAGCATAACAAACTCTTAACTAACAGACTAACAAACTTGTGACGTTTTCAATATTCTTCGTGTGTGCTTCTTTAATTGAATGGCCAACTTTCTTGTATACTTGATCCAGTGTATACTCTAATACTTAGCACAATATGACAAACTAACCAGTACGAATACGCAAAAAGAACCTACACCATTCTTCAATATATGAAAAATGCTTATTACCCTACCTCAACAAAGATCCGAAGTCAATTAAAATCCTTCTTTTATACTGTGATTTGTGATGATTCAAGCAGTAAGAGACCTCAAAATTCACTTACTTTTAAGTGAAAAATAAACCAATTACTCATTTTGGTCCAGTTTAATGAGGATGCTAGGAGGGGGTCGAGTGGGTAGTGTACAGATCTTGCCTTTTGTACTCTATTTACAAAAAATGGCTGTCCTTTTATTCAAAACACAATTTTACATGGTCTGCCCAACCATCATACTATTCTACTAGGCTATGATAACTTTCACATAATAATAGCTGAGTGTATAAAGGATAGTACAAATTCTACTTAGCAGCCATTAGACAAAACTCATGTAATCTATTGAACAGTGAACCATACAGATCAATGAATGCTCAACATTATGGCTACCCAGAAAGCAAAATCCGACACACACAAGAACAATAGAACCCAGAAGGCAAAGAAATGAGATGTAATGAAGAACGTAAAGCGAAAGTTGTACCTTGTTAGTGAAAATTTCCTCTCGCTCCACGCCCCCAGGCACACCGAGAGAGAGAGAGAGAGAGAGAGAGGGGGGGGTTTTGTGTGTGTGTGTGAGTGTGTGTGTGTGGTGGTTGAGCGTGGGGGGAACTGAAATATGTAACAGTGTCCAGACCGGAAGTCCAAATAATTTTTCGTTAAATTTGAAACAAATGTTAATCGTTGAGATAAAATAATATTAATAAATATAATAAAATAAAATTAATAAATAAAAAATTATATTTAATTTAATTAGTGTCTCAATTTGGTATAGGTAATTAATACCAAGTATCATCGTACGTGGTAGAATACCATAGCCCATACATAAATATGCTCGTGTGAATGCGAGATTCAAATATAAAATTTAGATTGATAAAATTTAATAAATAAAAGGGTCAATGTATATTTTTTTGTTTCCTATAAATAAAGTAAAGCACCTTACCAATTATAAAAGATCGATTTAAATTTTTTTTTTTTTTGACATGAATCGTGGCTTTAAAGTAGTTTATTTTGTATCTACATCTTTCCTATTATCTTTTTATTTAGTTTTACTAAATTATTTGATTGTGTCATTTCTAATCACGGGTTACCTTGATTTGGCCACCTCTAACCTAATAAGAATGATTATTCTCATGATCAAACAAAGATCAATTTACTTATTTCTCGAAAGATAGTTCCACGATTATGAAGAGTAACTTGTTGGAAGAAGGGGCAAAAATGAAATTTAGAGAAAGTGTAATGTAAAATATCTGTTTATTATAACCTTTTTTTTTATAAGTCTAATTTATTATTTTAATAATTAAACAAAAAAGGCGGGGGCATATATATAAACCCCAAACCTTCCGTCTATTGCAAATGTTGCCCACAAAACAAAACAGCCAAATGTTAGATCTAAACGCAGCTTCTCCCACATTCCTCACCTTATCTCTCGTATTCCTTCTCTCACTCATCTCCTTCATCTTCCACTCTCTCTCTCATCCTCCCACCAAAACCCCATGTCCCCAATCATACCCAGTCGTCGGAAACCTTATCGGCTTCCTCCGCAACCGCCACCGCTTCCACGACTGGGTCGCCGACATGCTCTCCACCACTCCATCGCTCACCCTCCAAGTCAACGGCTTCCTCCACCTCTCCCACGGCGTTTGCACCGCCAACCCCACCAACCTCCACCACATCCTCCGCCACAACTTCCCCAACTACGTCAAAGGCACCCGCTTCCAGTCTGTCCTCCATGAATTCCTCGGCCACGGCATCTTTACCGTTGACGGCGAACTCTGGTCCGGCCAACGGAAAATCTCCAGCCATGAATTCAACACCAATTCTCTCAAACACTTCATATCAAACACAGTCCAAACCCATCTCTCAAACCGCTTGATTCCTTTTCTCTCAGCTGCCTCCAACACCCAAGAAATCATTGACCTCCAAGAAATTTTCCGGCGATTCACTTTCGATAACATCTGTAACGTTGCATTTGGTGTTGACCCTTCATGTTTGAACTCGAAAAACATCAACCAAAACCCAGTGAACTCATCGTTTGTTCATGCGTTTGACTACGCCGTCGAGGTCAGTTCCGGCAGGTTCATGTCACCTTTTCCGGC